TTCAGAGAACTTAAGGGTTATGGTGAGACTGAACAGTATATAATTAATAAGTTCTTTTAGCAGAGAAGGCTATATGATAATGAGCATTATGATATTTCGGCTCATCCTTCTCATCTTTCTTCCTGAAGATCACTGTCGAGAAGACTATTCTGGAGCAAAGCAATAGCCGGTATGAGCTTCAAGGTGAATATGTATTACCGGGCTCCCGTGACCGAGACCTTGGTCAGAAGGAAGCTGGCAGTTTCTTGATGAGAGCCATGACTGGTCATCTAGGAAGTGTTATATCGTCCATGGGAAGATGGAGAATGAGACTTGAAGTGCCTAAGGCAGAGGTTGCTGAGATGCTTCCTCTTGCAAGGCTTCTTTCAAGAAGTACAGATCCAGCTGTCCACTCAAGATCAAAGGTTGGCTAATGTTTTTGCTAAATTGCATGCGTATATTGTGAGTAGTCATGTTCTGAAATGTTGGTTCAAAAAAAAATTCAACCTGCACGAGCATGTTTAAAAATATGTTCTAAACTCCTCTTTCAGTTGGATGCTTCTGATTATGCGGGTTTCTTTAATTGGTATGGCAGGATCTTTTTATTCAAAGTGTGCAAAATCTCTGTCTACAAGCTGACAATCTTCGAGACTTGCTTGAGGTAATGTACCAAATATGGTGCCTTTCTTCCACTGGAAAGTGACTAAGGGGGCTTCTGACATAGAAAGCAGATTCTAGAGTATGACAAGACAACTGTGTGGTTATTCTTTCTTATTCTAAATTTCATGATTCCTTGAAATCAGGAGATACGTGGGTATTATACTCCAGCGAGCGAAGTCGTTCTTGAAGATCTAAGTCTTCCAGGTTTAGCTGAACTTAAAGGTCATTGGCATGGTTCGCTGGATGCTAGCGGTGGAGGCAATGGAGACACCTTGGTATAAAAAATAACCTTGTCATCTCATTTTTAAAATGGAAGGGTAAAGATTGTCATCATTTAATGGAGACTCTAAAATGGTTTTCGTATGTTTTATAGTCCAAGGGGATGGGTGTAATCGTCTTTCAAAAGGAGAAAAAGAACTTTGTATGACTAAGTAAGAATTTTCAGTGATGCTCTTGTCTAATGTTTTCCTCTTAATATCAGGCCGAATTTGACTTTCATGGAGATGATTGGGAGTGGGGCACTTACAAGACACAGCGTGTTCTGGCTACTGGCTCATATAGCAATGATGATGGTTTACGTCTTAAGGAGATGCTTATTCAAAAAGGAAACGCTACACTGCATGCAGATGGGACGTTATTGGGGCCAAAAACAAATCTTCATTTTGCTGTTCTGAATTTCCCTGTTAGTTTGATACCTACCTTGGTTGAGGTTTTTGAATCATCAGCTAGTGATCTTGTTCACTCTTTGAGGCAACTCTTTTCACCAATCAAAGGCATTTTGCACATGGAAGGGGATCTTAGAGGGAGCCTAGAAAAACCAGAATGTGATGTACAAGTTAGATTATTGGATGGTGCGGTTGGTGGTATAGACCTTGGACGAGCTGAGGTTTTTGCTTCTCTGACATCTAACAGCCGTTTTCTTTTCAACTCCAACTTTGAACCATTTGTTCAAAATGGCCATGTGCATATACAAGGAAGTGTTCCCGTTAGCTTTCCTCAGAAAAAAATCTCTGAGGGAGAAGAAAATGAAACTGATAGAGGTGGTGCAGTGAAAGTACCTAGCTGGGCAAAAGAAAAGGAAGATGATGAGAAGAGAACATCAAGGGATAGGAGCGAAGACGGATGGGACAGCCAACTAGCTGAGAGTCTCAAGGGTTTAAACTGGAATATTTTAGATGCAGGAGAAGTTAGATTGGAAGCAGACATCAAAGATGGGGGAATGACATTGTTGACAGCCATATCTCCTTATGCTAACTGGCTCCAAGGCAATGCTGATATAAGACTTCAGGTTAGCCAAATATTAGCTTGTGCTAGTGTTAAGTTATCTTTACATCATTTAATAGTTCAATTGCTCTGTACATGTCCTTCACCATTATAGAAGCTCTGGCTAAATTCATTTACGCATACCTTACTTGCTGAACAGGTCGGTGGTACAGTGGAGAATCCTGTGCTTGATGGGTCTGCGTCATTCCACAGGGCATCTATATCATCACCTGTGCTCCGTAAACTTCTCACGAACTTCGGTGGGACCTTACTTGTTAAATCAAACAGGTTGTGCATCACCTCATTGGAAAGCAGAGTAAGTAGAAGGGGAAAGCTTGTTGTTAAAGGAAATCTTCCCCTTAGATCAAGTGAAGTATCTGATGGAGATAGAATAGAGCTCAAATGTGAAGTTCTAGAAGTACGAGCAAAGAATTTTCTAAGGTACACTCGAGTTTGTAGTACATAATTTTGATATATCTTTTCCTTCTTAACTGTTGATGAATCTTTGACGAGTGCATACGTTATCCTGGATCAGTTTAAGTTAATTTATATTCTTTGATCTTCTGCTATACTGCATGCTGAGATACTGTCTTCTCTAAGTTTCTTCCATATTTCTCTTCTAGACTCATGTTACTGAGCTTATTGGATTTGCTTATTCCTAATCAGTGGTCAGGTTGATACTCAGCTGCAAATTAGTGGATCAATGTTGCAGCCAACAATATCAGGAAATATTAAATTAAGCCATGGAGAAGCTTATCTGCCTCATGATAAGGGAGGTGGAGCTGCTCCTTTCAATAGATTGGCAGCAAATCAATCTAGGATTCCAGGTGCTTCTATCAATCAAGCAGTTGGTTCGCGATATTTTGCTCGATTTCTTGGTACAGAACCAGCTTCTTCAAGGATGAAATTCTCTCAGTCAGCTGGTAACATATGTCTTCTCCTCTAGCAAAAGTTCTTTATTTAAGTATTTGGAGTTTATAGGTTAAACTTTGTAATGATCTCTGCTTGTTTTTACCTGCAACAGGTGAATCAAATGCTGCTGAAAAGGAGATTGAAGAAGTGAAAATGAAACCAAATATGGATATCCGTTTGAGTGATCTGAAACTTGTTTTGGGACCAGAGTTGAGGATAGTGTATCCTTTAATTATTAATTTTGCTATCAGTGGTGAGCTTGAGCTTGATGGCATGGCTCATCCCAAATATATCAAACCAAAGGGTATCCTCACATTCGAGAATGGAGATGTCATTCTTGTTGCTACTCAGGTTTTGTCTCAATCTCTGTTGTTAACTCATATACTCCATCTTTTCTTGCAAAGCTTGACACCGGCTGTTCTAAACGCAGGTACGCCTTAAGAGAGAGCATCTCAATGTTGCTAAGTTTGAGCCAGAACATGGATTAGATCCTCTTCTAGATTTAGCTTTAGTTGGTTCAGAATGGCAATTTAGGATTCAAAGTCGTGCCAGCAATTGGCAGGACAAGCTTGTTGTGACTTCAACTCGTTCTGTGGAGCAGGATGCTCTCTCGCCTTCCGAGGTAAGTTTGTAGTCAAAACGTACCTAAAATTTGGAAATGTTCTTCTTCTTGATGCAAATATATCATTGTGTAAATCTCACTCTTTCTCAGGCTGCAAAGGTGTTTGAGAGTCAATTAGCAGAATCTATTCTAGAAGGAGATGGACAACTTGCTTTCAAGAAACTCGCAACCGCAACGCTTGAAACCTTAATGCCAAGGATTGAAGGAAAAGGAGAGTTTGGCCAAGCGAGATGGAGGTTAGTGTATGCACCACAGATCCCAAGTTTGCTCTCTGTTGATCCAACCGTTGATCCTATCAAGTCTCTGGCGAGCAACATCTCATTTGGAACAGAAGTTGAAGTGCAGCTTGGAAAACGTCTTCAGGTAAATCTTTTATCTTCTCCATATGGCCACACTTGTTTTAAACCTTAACAAAATAAACACGGCTTGGTTCTTATCTGTCTTTTATCTACAGGCCTCTGTGGTAAGACAGATGAAAGATTCTGAGATGGCGATGCAGTGGACTCTGATCTATCAGCTCACGAGCCGCTTGCGTGTTCTTCTTCAGTCTGCGCCGTCAAAACGATTGCTTTTTGAATACTCTGCTACATCACAAGACTGAAAAGCTTTTTTGTTTTCCTCTCGGATTCATATGGAGAAGGCCGTTTGTTGCAAAGGAAGGGACTGCAAGTTTTAGTGACTTTGGTCATTAGCATTTGTTATCGACAAGAAAATTATTTTATTATTTGGTCAGTCTTCTCTTAGCCTTTTCCTTTTCTTTGGGTCGTTAAAAATGTAAAATTTACGTTGTAAATGTTTATTGTTAGGGAATATAAAAGAGAAATTATCTAAAATGGTGAGAAAATTAAGATATCTTTATTATGTGGAATGGTCCAAAAATTTCCCAAAAATTACAGGGCTAACTCTCTTTCTATTTTCTTAATTTGTTTTATCATCTAACTATATATTAAAAGAGGAGCATTTTTGGCCAAATTTACTTACGTGTTGCGCACACAGTTTTTCAGAATATTTTTACAATTTTTATTAGTATGTTAAAAACCCGACCTAAAATCCGTTTTATAACATGCAGATTCTGTTCTATTATTAAACCTCCAAATTGTATCGGCTCCATCAATTGTATCGGTTACTAAATATCAGCTTTTTATTTGCCAGTAAAAGAAGAAAATTATTCAATTACAAAATTAAAAATATCCCTACAATATTTGTAATATATATAAAAAATTTGCGTTAACTTTTAATTAACGATTTTGTTACTGTATCCCAAACAAAATTGAATTCTGTTATCCTTTTTTGCTCTAACCAGATCGTCAAATATTCTTAGTGTAATTTTAGCATATTCTACTAACACAATCACCTATATCATTAATTCTCTCATTAATTCTCTCGAAACTGAAATAGTATATTCATCATACCAAACTTCTAAATCTAAATCTTATTAACATTTTGAAAGATTTCCTAATATTTACTATTAATCTACTAATGCTTCACAGCGTTCCATTATATATATATTTTCTCTTACCTAATTTCTATCATAGTTACTAAACCCCCGCACTTTTACCGTAAAATGGCTGCTATAACTCACCTTTCTGATTTGAAGCCATTCAAAAGTCAGTGGAGAATTCACGTCAAAATTCTGAAACTGTGGAAACAGTTTCTCAATGGTGTTGCTACGTTGGAAATAGTGATTGTCAATGAAAAGGTACCTGCAAAATGAATTATAGCCGTGTTGTTATATTCATTTTAACTTACATGATTCAGTATTTTTTTCAACTTTTGATTTTAACAGAATCAAACTATGCATGCCTCTGTGAAAAAAAAGACTTTATAAAAAAGTATGAAAATATTCTTGAAGAATGTTTATCTAAGACCATCATAAACTTCTGGGTTACCCACAATGGTGGTAAGTTCCGAACCTCATTTCATGTTTAAAAAATCCAATTTGCGGATACTACATCTGTGAGGCCAGCAGAGGATTTGCCTCTTCATGTACTTGGGTTGAATACAGTCTCCTTCACTGATATTCATGAAGGCAAACAAAATCCAGACTTCTTGATAGGTTTGTATTTTACAATAATAATAATCATCATCTTTAAATGGAAGTTTCATGTATGAATAATTATCATTGTAACATAATCTCTTTATATATCATATGGTTCTTATGCAGATATAGTTGGTCAAATAGTTGAAATCGGGGATGTTGAGATCTTAAACATCAATAGAAAGCAAATCAAGCGACTTACAATGACTCTTCGTGACGGTGGGTAATATTTTATTATAAATTTATTAGTGATACAGCTTCTCATCTATTTCAATATGCAAATTTCATTTTATTGATTTGTATTTCAATTTTGTATAGTAATGTGCGTTTGAACTGTGTACTTTGGGGAGAATATGTTGAGCACTTAGAAGGAATTGTGCAAAATTCAAACGATGTACTCTTCGTTTTTCTTTTACGTTGGGGGAAGTTGAGGCTTTATCAAGGTAATATATATTTCAGGTTTGCCATTTTGAAATATATATCCCCAAATTTTGTATATATATATTGTATGTTATTTGGAAGGCAAATGGAGCGTAGGTAATTGATATAGTGCTTCCACCGTGATGGTGAATCCAGAAGTACCAAATATCCTTACTTTTAGAAATAGGTAAAATGTTTCTTATCATTGTTTTAACTTACTTATTTCTATAAACAAATATTTTTATTTTAATAATTTTTGTGATCATTTTCAGGTTGCCAAATGATGGTTCCGGTCTAAGTTACACACATCCAAATCAGTTGACTGTAGTAAACTCGATTTTTGTTAGAGATGATTTCTTGCTCCACAGTCAAAGACGGACTATAAGTGAGATTACTTCTGCTTCAGAGGTACGTATTTAGTTAAACGAGACAATATCTCAGGTTTAGTTTAACTCAAATAAATGTATGGAAAATTTATCGTCCGTCTTGACAGGTGGCCTGTTACGATGTGCACTATTATGTCTATTGACACAGAGTTTGGATGGTACTATATGTCCCGCAAATCATGTTGCAAAAAAGTTTTCCTCATGACATGGATGCAATGAAAGAGAAGTATCCAGGTAGGAAATTTGGAAAACAGTTGTGGAAGTGTGAAAAATGCAATGAAGATGTCGATGAGATCCTTCCTGTGTGAGTATATTTTTATTTGCTTTTCTTAGATATGTGAATCTACTGTGGTTAATTCTAAAAAGTTTACCTAGATTTTTGTAGATTTATGTTAACATGTCGTGTTATAGACGATAGTGGTGAAGCAAAATTCCTCCTTTTTGATAAGGAGGCTATCGAAGTTGTTAATCAAACAGTGGCTCCGCTTACAGAGGCGGTTGACGGTTGACGAGGTATCAAAGGCAAATCATATATAAACCTATACACTTATTTTGATTCTGCTTATACAAAGATATATTATTAACACGACAAGTTCTTTCTACCTATTCCTAACATGTGCAAGATCTTGATGTACTACCTTTGGCACTAAGTAATATCTGCGGTAAAACCTACCTATTTAAGATTGCTACTCAAAATTCGAATATAGTCTTCAACAATCCTACTTACAAAGTGATCAAGATTGTTACTCAAAGTGAAATGGTTAAAGAGTTCTCTGAATACTTTGCATCTCAGTTTAGTAATTAGTTTAATTTGGTTTCCACATATTGAATAATTGTCTTAATTCAATTTGATATATTTTTTTAGCAAACTCCGGAGATGAAATCAATAAGTTGGCCTGTCATGGTATTTTCTAATGGCTTATTCAAATATGAGTTATATTAGATTCATGTTTAGTCTTTTATTCACTATATTATATAACTTTTATTCACTATATTCTGCAATGGTGTCTAGGTTCCAACATTGCAACTTCAATATCCAGAAGACGAAACTACTCCGCCATCTAAACGCAAAAGCAATGACTTTATCGATTTCTCTAACGATGCTAAAAATGTCCATTCTGTTTTAAAAAAGAGTTGCGTGGGCAAGCAAGTAGAATCTCCAGGAATTGATCAAGCAGTTTTCAAGACTATCAAGAAACAGAAGTGAGCTTCTACTGCATGTTTAATGGGGTTAAAGTGGCATATTACCCAAACTTCATAGTCTTCAAAGTTATTGAATCTTTAGTTTCCCTTTATTTTATTGCTTTGGTATTCCAAAAGCTATTGAGTTTTTTGTTTTATTTCATTTTGACTGGTTTCATAGATCAGCTAAACTCTTTCATTTTATTTCTATTTTATTGTAGCACTATTTCGTGTTTAGCAGTTTTTTATTCATCAAGTAATAAATTTTCCTATCAAAGATTATTATTAATGTTCAATTACTAAGTAAAGGACGTGATTACTAACCTTAAAGCTGTCAAACTCTCGAAAACTTCTTTTGTTGAAATTTTAAAGCTGTCAAACTCTCGAAAACTTCTTTTGTTGAAACCGTGATAGTTCATTTCTGAAATAGTTGATGAATAATTAGTTACATGGGAATGAAGCCCTCTTTATAGCTTCATTCCTCATTATAAGTATTTCCAGTATTGCTGCATTACAGACATAGTTGTTTAACTATTAAGAGTATAACTAAGAATTATGTCCAAATTCATATTATTCGCATATCAATTATGTATGGTAAAAAAAATTCAGCTATCATATTTATTGGGAAATAACTAACAAATCTAAACAATCTGATCTGTATAAAAGGGATGAAATCAATAAACGAGTATTTCACTAACAGCTTTAGTAACTAATATATTCATTTCGTCCAAATTAAATATCTATTACTGATCTTACAAATCCTCCTTTTACGAGATTAAGGAATACAATATATTAACTCTTCAGTAAAACGTCTTAAGCTCATAGTTGAAATTTACTATTAAGGTGTGAACATCAAAATTGAATGGCGGACATATGTATAGTTTTTCAACACCTTTAAATATTTTGCAAACACTATGAAAAACAAAAGTACGCTCGAGCCAGGTTATGTCGTTGAGGGAACTGAATTACCAAATAATCTAAGAAAAGAGATGACTAATTCATGTAAGTTGCTTCACTTTTGCCTTTTTAATTGCTTGGTAACTCTGTAAATAACTTTACAGTTATCAATCATTTCTTATTAAGCTAACAACACGACAAAGGCAACTACTATTGAACATTCTCGATCAACTGGTTCCAATACTATTCGTGGAGCTTTTGATACAATCTTTCGAGATCTGACGAACAAAATTGATTCTGCAACTATTAGATCGCCATACTCCAACTTACAATATCATTCAAGTAAGTGACATATATTTCTAATGCACCAGATTTAGTGTAATTTAATATTAACTTTTCATTTGACAACAGAGAAAGGAAGACATGGTGACAAAGAAAATCGGCCTTTATCAAGATCTACTCAACATATCCACCAACAATTGAAAATATCCGGTTTGCTTTTAAAATTATATATATGTTTTCCCAAATATTTGATTATCACACTATAAGTTTATTTTACAGATTTTAATTCAAAATCACGTAATATAGCTTCATCAAATTTGTCAACAAATAAACGTCTGAGGAAAAACCAAGCATCATGCGAAACCAATTTCAGAACCACAAATGATACTCAAATTTCAGATGATGGAAACTCACTTTTACCTTTCGATAAACCCCATTGCATAGCTCGAAACAGCCTCATACAAGTATAATTTCATGAAATCCTCTTATTCATAATGTTACATATCTACAATTAAATTAATATGATGACAATGCTCATTTGTTATTATTCTAATGAACATTACTTGCTTGAAGGACAAAAAAGAGTGGAAAGATTAAATGACACATATTCAAAAATTTATTCATCACATATCTCATAGGGCTCAGGTTTTATCCAAATAAAAACTACTGCAAGTGCACAGCAAAGAAGTCGTAGTATAAGGGGTATCGAATCCCAAAAGAGTATGTAAACTACACTATCAATTATAGGTTCAGATTAAGCTAAGCAATAGATGGGTGTATGTAATGCGAATGATAAAATAATAGAAAGCAAACGGAATTTGGTTGTTGATCTAAGTTCCAGAAGATTAAAAATGCTAAGTCAGGACAGTTCGCAGGTTGAATCCGAGAATGTGAAATGCATGAAATCAGGAATGATTAAGAACCGTCTTGAACATGAATCGGAAATATATAACTAATCAATTCTCATTGCAGAAGTTATCTATGTCTAAATCATAGAGTTTCAAATCTCTGTGCAAACCCTAACAATCTAAACATGCAGTAATGATCAGGTTCAATTGTTCACAAAACTCCTAAGCCAAATCTTTTTGCACTAAGTTGTTTTGCTCATAAAATACTAGTTCAGGTTATCAGTAATGCTCTCACATATATTTAACAACCTATGATTTTCGGATTTCTAGATGATGTGATACAAGCTCGGAGGAAGATCCGACTTAATATGCTCCTTGGTACGAGAATGGTTCGATCAGTCTAGGAATGAATGGAACGGACGGAATGGGACGCCTTGCAGCCAAGATACTCAGGAAAAAAGGACGTGGTACGGTGGTGTAGAAAAATCGGGACAGCTACTCGTATGTGGGACGGGACGGGTAATACCACGTATTTTGGCGGTACGAGTGACTGAATGGATCGGGTGAATGGGCGGGACGAGATGACGAGCGTCACCCAAATGCATACTTTTCTTCTCGAGCTGGACACTTCGTGGCTTCAACTTGCAATGCTCCAAAAAGGTTCAATATCTCCATTTATGCTCCAGACATGCTATAACCTGCAAAGACTCTACTAGGACTCTAAAAAGACGAAAAGACTCAATAAAAAGGACTTATATCATGGTCAAAAACCATAAAAACCATGATATATCAATATCCTATTAATATTCTTCTTTAAGTTAGTTACGGTTTTCATTGATTAACATAATCCATTAGTTAATAATACTTCTTTAATCATCTAATACATTAGTTCAAATTTGGTTAAACTCTGCTCTCGAGAAATCAGCAAATAAGAGTACACAATTATAGTTGGATACTTCAGGTTCCTCAACAGCCAATCTAAATTAAAACGGCAAAAGAAGTAGTAAGTTTATGAAGTTATTCCTTTTCTCACAACTATAATCTTTCAAGGAAATGGTTTATTTATATTTTTTTTGTCATTTCCAGATTCTGATAATTCTTTCGGAAAGGCAACATATTCCAAAGAGAGAAAAAAAATTTAAAGTTGACAAAGTTCAAGAACAATCTGATTTTCGTATGAGTGATATAACATGCAATATCAATGACAGACAG